AATTTCCCAAATAGAAACAAAAAGGTCCAGATAATTTCACTGGCTTAAAGAATTTATTTTAATATGTTTTAAATTGATATTTTATTTATATTTTAGAGAGAGAAGAAGGGAGAGAGATAAAAACATTGATGTGAGAGAGAAACATCGATTAGCTGCCTCCTGCTTACCCACACCAGAAATCAAGCCCACAACGCAGGCATGTGCCCTGACCAGAAATCGAACCAGGACCTCTCAGTCCACTGGACAACAGCTCAATCCACTGAGCCACATCGGCCAGGCTAAAAAATATTTAAAGAAAAATTAACCCCAATTCTACACAAGCTCTTCAAAAAAAATAGAAGAGGATGGAGCACTTCCCAATTCCTTTTTAAAGTTAGTATTAACCTGACACCAAAACCAAAGTACAAAAAAGAATACTATAGACCAAATCCCTCATGAATACAGACACAAAAATCTTCAACTAAGTATTTGAAAATAGAATTGAGCAATATATAAAATGACTTATACATTATGACAAAGTCGGGTGTATTCTAGGGATGTAAGGCTGGCCTAACAGTAGAAATCAATCATGTTAATCATATAAAGTCACCACTGTAAAAAGCTCTTTATTTATTTATTTTTTATCCTCACCTGAAGACATTTTTTTTCATTTTTTGTTCAGATAGAGTGGGAGGGAGAGAGAGAAAGAGAGAAAGATCGACGTGAAAGGGACACATAGAGTGACTTCCACCTGCATGACCAACCAGGGCCGGGGACAAACCGCAACTGAGGTACGCGCCCCTTAGCGGGAACTGAACCTGGGTCTCTCTGGACTGCAGACTGACACTCTAACTGCTGAGCCAAACTGGCTAGGGCGTAAAAAGCTCTATAGAATCACATAATTATATTGATAAATGCAGAAAAAGCATTCAACAAGTCAACAGCCATTCATGGTAAAAATCTCAGTAAAAAATAGGAATAGAGCAGAACTTCAACTTTACTGAGCATCTTCAAAATACCTACAACTAACATACTTAAGAGTGAAAGACTGCAGATGAGGATGTCCACTCTCACCACTCTTACTCAACATAGTGCTAGAAGTTCCAGCTAGTGCAATAAATATAGCAAGAAGATAAAAGGCACACATATCAGAAAGGAAAAAAAAAACTGTCCATATTTAAAGACAGTATGAAGAAACAGAATCTATTCTTAGATCATAAAGAATCTATGGAAAAAATCTAAAACTACTAAGTTCAACAAACTCACAGAATGTAAGATAAACATTAAAAAAATGTATTTCTAGATACTAGTAACAAACCAATATTAAATATATAATATTTATAATCATCAAAAAAGAATTAAATACTTAGGTATATCTAGCAAAACATGTACGGGATGTATATGCGCAAAACTGCACAATGCTGATCAAAGGAATCAGAGAAGAGCTAAATAAATGGGTTGGAAAATTCAACACAGTAAAGACTTCAATCTCTCCAAATTAATATACAGTTCAATGCAATTCCTAACAGGATATTTTGTACATATAGACAAAATATTCTAAAATTTATATGGAAAGGCAAAGGAACTAGGATAAAACAATTAGAAAATGAAGAATAAAGTAGGAGGAATGAATCTGCCCAATGTCAAGACTTATAGCTATAGTAACCAAGACTGTGATATTAACAAAAGGACAGACATGTAGACCAATGGAACCGGGAACCCAGAAATAGACTCACAAAAAAATGCTCAGTTAGTTTTTGAGAAAGGTGAAAAGAAATTCAATAGAGAAAGACAATCTTTTCAACAAGTAGAACAATTGAACATATGCAGGATAAAACAAAACCCCTTAACCTATGTTTTACACTTTATATAAAAATTAACTCAAAATGGATCATGGACTATAGTGAGTAAAACTACAAAACTTTTTTTTTTCATGTAGGAAGAAAATCTTTTGAGATCCAGGACTGGAAAGAGTTTTACTTTTTGCTTTTAAAATATATATATAAAATTGATTTTAAAGAGAGAGGAAGGGAGAGGGAGAGAGAAACATCAATGGAAGATAGAAACTAATCATCTGCCTCCTGCATGCCTCCTACTGGGGATTGAGCTCAAAACCTGGTCATGTACCCTGACCAGTAACTGAAACTTTGACTTTTTGGTACATGAGACGACACTTAACCAACTGAGCCACACCAGCCTGGGCAAGACTAGGAAGAGTTTTACATTTGACACTAAAAGCATGATCCATAAAAAAAAAAAAAGGATAAATTTCATCAAAATTAAAATACTTTGGCTCTACAAAAGTACATTAAAAAAATTAAAAGAAAAGCTACAGACTGAGAAATATCTTCAAACTACATAGACTTGCCAGATTTGTGGTTTCAGGGATTAAGAAGGGGTCAGAGTGAGAGGGAAGTGGGTATGGCTATAAAATGACAAGGAGGAATCCTGGGGCAATGGAAATGTTGTATCTTAACTGTTAATGTCATGGTTACAATGCTGTACTAGAGTTGTTGTTTTTTAATCCTCACTCAAGGACATTTTTCCATTTTTTGTTCAGATAGAGTAGAAGGAAGGGAGAGAGAGAAACATCGACGTGAAAGGGACACATCGAGTGGTTGCCACCTGCATGACCCAACCAGGGCAGGGGACAATCTGCAACTGAGGTACGCACCCCTAGCGGGAACCGAACCCAGATCTCTCTGGACCACAGGCCGACGCTCTAACCACTGAGCCAAACCGGCCAGGGCTGTACTAGAGTTTTGTAAAATGTTTCCACTGGGGGAAATTGTAAAGGATACAAGGACTCTCCCTCATTTCTTAAAACTGCATGTGAATCTATAACTACCTCAAAATAAAAAGTTCAATTAAAACAAAAAATTTTTATTTTTTTTTATTTTTTTTTATCCTCACCCGAGGACATTTTTCCACTTTTTGTTCAGGTAGAGTGGGAGGGAGAGAGAGGAACAGAGAGAGAGAAACATCGACGTGAAGGGACACATCGAGTGGCTGCCACCCGCACAAGCGACCAGGGCCGGGGACAAACTGCAACTGAGGTACGTGCCCTTAGCGGGAACCGAACCCGGGTCTCTCTGGACCGCAGGCCGACGCTCTAACCGCTGAGCCAAACCGGTCAGGGCAAAACAAAAAAAAATTTTAATCAACAGTGAAGAGCACAATCATGACCAGTTACCATATAATAACTTATATGGGATAGTTAAAGCTCAAAAACACTGATTAACTATTAACTTTAACTTTCTACAGCAAATATAAATTCCTGAAAAGTAGAAAATTACAGCCCTGACTCAATGACTCAACTGGTTGTAGCATCATCTCATACACCAAAATATTGTGGATTTGATTCCCAGTCAGGGCATATATCTAGGTTGCAGGTTCGATCCCTGGTCAGGGAACCTACGGGAGGCAACCAATCGACCAATCGATGTTTCTCTCTCACACTGATGTTCCTTCGCTGCCCCCCACCCCCGCCACCTTTCTCTCTCTCGAAAAATCAGTAGCCCTGCCCGTTTTGGCTCAGCGGTTAGAGTGTAGGCCTGCAGTCCAGAGAGACCCAGGTTCGGTTTCCTCTAAGGTCACGTACCTCGGTTGCAGTTTGTCCCCGGCCCTGGTTGGGTCGTGCGGGTGGTGGCCACTCAATGTGTCCCTTTCACATCAATGTTTCTCTCTCTCTCTCTCTCTCTCTCTCCTTCCCAGTCTATCTGAACAAAAAATGGAGAATTGTCCTCGGGTGAGGATTAAAAAAAAAAAAAAAATCAGTGTTACATTTTCAGAGCATTTTCAAATGCTTACATCTTCAAGCAAAATAATCTACATAGTTCTGACTTGTCATTAAGATCTTAGAACTTGAGCCCTGGCTCTTTGGCTCAGCGGCTGGAGCGACGGCCTGCGGGCTAGAGAGTCCCAGGTTTGGTTCCCGCTAGGGGCATGTACCAAAAAAAAAAAGATCTTAGAACTTGAGGCCTAACATAGATGGCATTTATGCTGCCCTGGAAAAAAATCTGAATTTTCTTAATCAATAGAGAAATTATTAACAAACAAATGAATAATTAATGTGCACCTTCACTTGCCAAATATCTGTTCTGGAAATTTCCTTTCTATATTCTTCATCTCTGACACTGAGACTACACATGACTCTAGAAGGTAAACAATGGAAGCACATTCAGCTATTGTAATAAATCCAACTAGAATAACTCTATCACCCACTGTAACCTTGGTAATTTCCTAAGCCTTTCCCGTTCTAATTCAATGATAAAAAATATTTAGCATAAACCACTTGTTTCTTATCTCTTCCACAATTTTCTTTCTCAATAATTACTCTAAGTTTAGAGCAAGAAGAAATGTTCAGACACCCCTGGCTGGTTTGGCTCAGCAGTTAGAGCGTTGGTCTGCGATCTGGAGAGACCCGGGTTCGGGTCCCACTAAGGGTACGTACCTCAGTTGCAGTTTGTCCCCGGCCCTGGTTGAGTAGTGTGGGTGGCAACCACTCGATGTGTTCCTTTCATGTCGATATTTCTCTTTCTCTCTCTCCCTCCCACTCTATCTGAACAAAATATCAAACAATGTCCTCGGGTGAGGATAAAAAAAAAAAAGAAAAAAGAAATGTTCAGACCAAGCCTACTGAAAAAGGTCTCCCACCACAGTACATGCAATTTGGTCTCAAATTTTATACTTATTCTTTTAAAATTTCTGAAATTTGCCCTGGCCAGTGGTTAGAGCATCGGCCTGCAGACCAATGGGTTGTGGGTTTGATTCTGGTCAGGGGCACATACCTCGGTTGCGGTTTATCCCAGCCCTGGCCAGGGTCATGCAGTAGGCAACCAGTTGATGTGTCCCTCTTACGTCGATGTTTGTTTCTCCTTCCCTCCCTCGCTCCCTCCCACCCTCCCACTCTATTTGAAGATAAATGGAAAAATGTCCTTGGGTGAGGATTAAAAAATAATAAAAAAAAATTTCTGAAATTCACTACCATGAAATATTTTTATAAAAGTTTATGTTCTTACAAATGATTTGTTCATGGCACGTTTCACTTCATCAGAACCATCCGAATAGATCTGCTGAAATAATTTGTTTAAAGCTGCATCTCCCTCCAACTTCTCATTCTTTTCTTCTTCTTTGATCTCTCCAACCAATTTATCCCAATTTTTTGTATGAAGAGATGAGGATGGATATAGGTTCTTTACATCTACAGAATAAAAAGAGTGATTAATCAACATGTGTTGATTATACCAAGAATATGTAAACCTTGTGACCATGGTGTATAGAACACCTTAGCAAATAATAGGTGATTGAATTTCACATTTGAAATATATATCTTTCTGATACACACATCAATAGTTAAGTTGACACTTCTAAAAATTGAATCAACATGTGAAGCCTGGGAATTTCTTTTGAACAAAGTAACTCGATAAAGTGTAAACTTTTGGTACATTAACCAAAATTAGATTAAAAACAGATTCTTCATGTTAATAATAGAGAAAACTCAGTGAGAAGTATACAGGAACTTCTTTATATTTATAGAAAAGTTGCAAAGATAGTATAAAGAATTCTAAAATTAGTATTTTTTAAGTTGCTTCCTTAAGATATTTCTTCTTCTTTTTTTTTTTTATCCTCACCCGAGGATATTTTCCATTTTTGGTACAGACAGAATGGGAGAGAGAGAGAGGAAGGAGAGAGAGAGAGAAACATCGACGTGAAGGGACACATCGAGAGGCTGCCACCCGCACGACCAACCAGGGCCGGGGACAAACTGCAACCGAGGTACGTGCCCTTAGCGGGAACCGAACCCGGGTCTCTCTGGACCGCAGGCCGACGCTCTAACCGCTGAGCCAAACTGGCCAGGGCAGATATTTCTTATAAACAAGATTTTAATGTTAAAAATGTGGCTTTTCCTCAGATATTTATGTCTTCCAGAGTAGAAATACACTGAAAATATAAATAATTATCCATCCCATTTGGCAGCAAGTTAAGACTTCATCCATTCTCTCCCTACATTTAAAAATATTAGATTGCTTCAATAGGAGACAATAAGAAACGCCTTATTGTTGAAAAATACTGCATGGGATGACCTAGAGTTCAATGTCCACACCATGCACAAATAGCAAATAATAGTATTTGTAGGGCACACTGGAATAAATGGAGGCTGATTGCAGCCAGATAGGCTACCAGCCCAGGGACTTCAGGGCACTGTCAAGGTTGCCCCAAAGACTAAAGGAATCAAGATCTCAGTACACAAATAACTTAAAAGTAACTAATCTACCCAGTAACTATAAGAGCAGTTCTGTTCACTGTCCAATGGAAATATAATAGACACATATGTGAGCCACATATATAATTTAAAATTTTCTAGTAGCCACCTTACTAGAAAGGATCAAGTGAAATGCATTCTAATAATATATTTTATTTAACCTAATATATCCAAAATAGTATCATTTCAACAGTAAATAAAATACCAAAAATTTATGGTATTTTTGTATCTTTTTTCATATAAGTGTTCAAATTTTAGTAGGTATTTTACACTTAGAGCATATTGCAAATCCAGGTTAGTCATATTTCAAGTGCTCAATAGGTACATGTAACTAGCAGCCACTATACTGGACAGTGCAACTACAGAGCTTTAAAGAAAAAACTGATTAAAAGACTCCCTTATCAGTATATTAGAACACATGAATGCTAATCTAAATGTCCTTCTTCCACTACTGCCTTTCTATATCCCCTTCCTCAAAATAGTTGAGAAACCACCAATTGTTCATTCTGTTTTTCCATTCTTTCTCTTCACCTGTAAACCAACTTTCTCCTTGCCCATCCTTACCTCAAAACAAAATCACAACATACCACAAGGTTTTATTTAGGGCAAACACACTATTTTCCAAATTCTACCTACCCTTCCTCTACTAGCAATCTCCTCGATCTTTGTACATTATCACTAGTAGCCAAAGAAAATTTTTAACATGCCATGAAAATTAAGAGCCTAGGAAAGAGTTTTAATTAATTCTAATGTGGACTCCCCGCATTAGAAAGATGGAAACACAGGTTCTAATCTCCAGTGCCCAGATAGGTTAAGCAATGTGTCCTTATCTGCAGTCTGCAGCTTGCAGTACACAGGAATCTGACAAGCACATTAATTCCATACAAAAATATAACAGGAGAGGAGGAATAACATCTTTATGAATATGCAAAGCATTTAGTTTAGAAAAATTCTATAAAACTAAAAAAACCTTTGATCTCAGAAAAAATTTAACACTGTAGATAGCAGATGAATTAGTGAGAGATGAGAACCCTAACTTCCTTGTTCATTCACTTGAATATCAAATAACTGCAAAGATACTTATGTCAGCAACGACTTTCCCTGGTTAGAAAATGCAGCAACAAGCAGTAAAACATAGGAGGTTCACAGAAGAACCAGACCTAGACACTGAAGACCAGAGTTTAGTCCTAGACAATAAAAAATGTTAGGTCATCTTAAGCAAGTTGCTTAACCTTTCTAAGCCTGTAAAATAGAAGGAACAATACTGGGCTGCCTACTATGTAGGACTGTTGTTAGAATTAAATTAGATACTGCATTTAAAGTGTTTCTTTTAAAAATGCTCTGAGTTATACAGAAACTTCAGCCCAAAAATCTCTGGGAGTCAGCCCCAAGAGAAGCACATAACATCTTTGCTACACCTTTCAAATAAAGTGGGAAGCAGAAGCTTAAATAGCAACTTGAAATTTCATTCTTAAAAATTATCTGTTGCTGTCAGTTTCCTGGTTTTGCTTATTACTCTATACCTTAGTTACAAGTATTATCATGCAGGATAGCTAGGTGAAGGGTACATAGGAACTCTATTTCTGCAACTTGTATGAGAATCTAAAATTATTTCAAAATAAAAATAATATAAATGAATGATCTGTTGGCTAAATTAGTGTTTTCTAAAAGTTCCACAAGGAAATGTGTTTTGTTATAGAAGCAGTGAAAAATCTAAAGTAGCTAAAACACAGCTACCTCATTTCAATCATCAAATCAAAGCATTAACTCTAATCAAAAAGATATTTCTCTCCATTCATTAATGAGGCCATTGCTGTAAACTACAGTCTCACGTTATAGTTCTCAGAGTGTCCTACAGATTAATTATTCCATTAGAAAAATACCTATCTGTCTATTACACATGCTTAGAATTTACCTCTACATAGTCTTTAGGGGTAAAGGGTTAAACATATGAACCCTAGTTTTCTACTCTTCTCCTAGGCTTTCCTTAGGCATTTATTACTTGTTTGCTTCCACCTATTAGCAATATAGTAAAATAGACAGATACCTGACTCAGTGAAGCTCTGAAATTCCAGAAATTAGAGTTGACAATATCAGAATAGAAGGAATAAATAAGGAGGGAGATGGAAGAGGATGAAATACATCAGTAAACTACGAATTCTCTTAAAACCCAAAAGCAGCAATAGGAAAAAGGCCAACACAAAAAAACCGAACAACCCTCAACTGATGTCATAAACTGGCAAGGTAAACAATAAATTCCAATTTCCTTTTTGCTGCCATTCATTTCTACTCTTAAAGAGTTTAAGAAGGGCCCTGGCCGGTTTGGCTCAGTGGTAGAGTGTCAGCCCACAGATCAAAGAGTCGCAGGTTCGATTCTGGTGAAGGGCATGTACTTTGGTTGCAGATCAGTCCCCAGCCTTGGCTGGGGTTGTGTAGAAGGCAACAAATCAATGTGTCTTTCTCACATCAATGTTTCGCTCTCTCTCCCACTCTATCTGGATAAAATAGAGGAAAGTATCCTTGGGTGAGGATTTAAAAGGTAAGAGTTTAAGAAATCAGAACCTTCGTAAGAAAAGCCAATTTGTATTCATTATAGAGCAACTTTATTAAATGCAATGTATCTTATACTGGGAACATAAATAATGAAAGCAGAAAAAATGCTCATTACTATTTAATTTCACCCATATAACACAATTTTAAAGTAAAGCTCATCAAGGCCAGAAAACAAACCTGCTGCGAACTGTTTTGGCTTAGGCACATCTCCTTCTCCCTCTAGCTTTTCCCATCTCACAGCCTCTGGCTTTTTCATTTTAATTTCAATCTGCAGAAAACATCAAATAAAATCCATTATTTAATGAAAAATAGACACAAAACATGCCATTTTCTTTCAAAATTTAGTAAGAATTATTAGTGGCCTTGGCTGGTATGGCTCGGTTCATTGAGCATCATCCCCCGCACGGATAGGTCGCTGGTTCGATTCCCAGGCATATGCCCAGATTTTGGGCTTGATCCCCAGTAGGGAGTGGAAAGGAAGCAGCCAAAAGATGTTTTTCTCTCTCCCTCTCCCTTACTTTCTCTCTAAAATCAATAAAAACATATTTTTTTAAAAAAAGAATAAACAGTATCCTTGAGATAGTTTCCTTAAATTATACAAGGTTAAATTAGAAAAATTTTGAAACATTTTTTTTTACTTAAAAGCCCTTCAAAAACACATACACATTATAAACTACAATTAAGAAGAGCCTTGAAATTCCTATGCATTTCTCTTCTAAAGCAGTGTTCTAAACCAGGAGTGATGTTGACCCTCAAGGGACATTTGGCAATGTCTAGAGATACTGTTGGTCATCAGAACTGAGTGGAGATGAGGGGTGCTACAGATGTCTAGTAAGAGGAGACTAGGAGGTGCTACTAACCATCCTACACAAGACAAGCCCCTACAACAATTATCCAGCCCAAAATGGAACAGTGCCAACGACCAAGAAACCCTGTTCTAAACAAGTTAGAATTACATTTGCATATACATTAACCTGTTTTATAGTGGAGAAAATTCATTCCATGTATAAAAAATAATACAACTAATACCAACATTATCACAATCATTCTTTCAATAATTATTAAATACCCTCTATGAGCAAGGTATCATCTTCAGGGATGTGAGGGATTTTTAAAATATTCAATACGTGTTCTTGACCATTTGGAAGCATGCAAAACACTTGAAAAGTTACTCAAGAGGCAAATAAATGTTCTAAAACCTCAGGAGACATCACACCTTAGTGTACCTGTGAAGAGCTGTGAGAAGAAGGAGTTTCTGCTATGGGGGACAGGGTAGGTCTCCAGAAGCAAAGGGAATAGCCTAAAACTGGAGCCATGAGGTGTGAAAGGCACATGAAAGGGCACAGTGCATCAGACAGTAGGGAGAAGACCAATTTGCCTCAAGCCCAGGATTGTTACAGCAGTGAGAAATACAGATGGGAAAAAGCAGTGTAAGGCAGACAATGAACAGCTTCTGAATGCTAAACAAAGTCACTTACTAAAATAAAATGTTAACAGCATCCTAAAACATCTTTTACTCTTTCATCATGGGTTGTCCCTAAAGTCTACCCTTAACCCTAACATACACTCACATAGCACTTACATGTACCATTTTTCCTTATTCAAATAATGCCCTCACTCCCATTTTTAGCCTAGCAAAAATCAGCATTTATAGTGATGGTAAACAATAATATTACACAAACAGTTTAAGATTCAAATTAGAATATTATATTCTAACATTTTTTCCTAAGAAAAGGATTATTACTTTTATTTAATACAAAAAACTCAAAAGACAGATTTAATAAAAAGTCCTATTCACAACTTAGTTATTTGACCCCTTTAGAGCAGATGAATCATTTAAATTAGCAATTACTAATAATCTTTCTACAACCTATATTTAGTGTGAGAATCCTTAAAATCAGCATTTTAAAATACCCTAACAAAACACTAAACAGAGAAATACGCCTCAACATCAGACATGAAGACATGGTATGGAAGCAGTGTGCTGAGTAATCAAAAATTTTTTAGGAGCATAGAAAGTCAACAAAATATTGTTTCATAATGAGAGAAAACATGAAACAAATGTCCCTGGGAAAGGGGCAAAAAATATAGTATTTTTAATTTAACATACATGTTTAAATTCTACATAAATAAAAACAAATATTTTATAAGAATCTCTAGAATTCCCTAAAATATACTATGATTGAACTTTATAAAGTAAAATACAACCAACATTTTCTCATACACAGTTTTAAGTGATTGCCCTCTGGTTATTTTAAGTTGTCACTGCTATTTATCTAAAAGGAACATAAATCGAATATTTGGCAATGACATACCAGTAGTGACTAAACAAAGGCTATTACTATTACTGCAAAATTTAAAATTGCTGTCTTGCTCCTTTAACTTACACTCATCCTGAAATAAAGACCTGGCAAGCAGGGTGTACATAAACACTATCATTAACTAGCCTCCACCACAGGGCACCCTATATTCTCACCTCGTGTCCCCATGCTAAACACTATCTAAAAAGTTCTTTGTTTTACCTGAAGAGCAGCACACACCAACACTGGCATCTACTGAAAGCCACTATAACCTGAGTAAACTGTGCAGTACGAACAGAGAGGTCTTTATAAAGCCAAAGTCAAAGCTTTGAGAAACGCTGAACTGAACTTAAAATTATACTTAATCCCTTCATTGAAATAGCTGCACATAATAAACTATTTAAAGCAGCTTTTTTAAAAGGTAAAAGGGGTGGGGGAAACTAATTTTCTATGAATTCCTTTTTATACCTACTTCACTTCTGATGCGTTAAAAGTGAAGTTTAAGTCTTGATTCTGGCAAATACTTCTAGAATTACCACCAGTTCAATTTCATATATTTTTACTGCAACCATTAATAAGCCATTCTACTTTCATTTAAGTCAAAAATAATTTAAAAATTAATGTAAAACTCTGGTATTTTGCTTGAATGTCGCTCTCATAGGCACAGGGAAGGCTTTCAATGCATAAATCCCAAAGCAGTATTCACAGGTTACTAATAAGAATTCCTACTCTGCTAGATTGTCAGTTTTCAATATTATGTGTACTACCACCTACCTTTAAGGTCTTCTTTGCACAGCAGAGAGTTTAGTTTTTTTCCAATAAAAGGAACTTAAGATTTAAAGAGAAGCCATATGCCCTGGCCGGTTTGGCTCAGGGGTTAGAGCATCAGCCCTCAGACCAAAGAGTCATGGGTTAGATTTCAGGCAAGGGCACCAATCTCGGTTGTGGTTTGTCCCCAACCCTGGTTGGGGAGATGAGGGAGGCAACCCATCAATGTGTCCCTCCCATGTCAATGTTTCTCTCCCCCCGGCCTCCATCTGAAGACAAACAGAAAAATGTCCTTGGGTGAGGATTAAAAATAAAAATAAAGAGAAGCCATTACCCCTATGGGTATCCAGACACCACCTTCTTAAGAAGTGCTAAGTAAGCTCCCACTTAATGCTACAGATTGATGGTGAAGGGATCTTTCCCAGACACTAGAGAACTGTAAAGTTTACTGGTAAACTATTTTTTTCTGGCAAACTTGAAAATCCCCCATTTCAAAGCTATAGTCACTAAATAATTGCTCCCCTAATCTTCAGAATAATTTTCCCATGTTCTTACTCAGCTCTTTACACATTTAATTGCTGTATCAAACCTCTGTTCGATAAGAGTAGCTCAGTCTACCTAAGGCAGAGTGTGCATCTAGTTTTACTTTTACACTCAAATCATTTTATAATCATTTTTAAAAATACAACAGATGATCATGAACAAAGAGGAACTGAAAATCTCCAAAGTTCGTTTAATGTTTTTTTCCATTATTTATTTTTTTCTGCACACTCCCTACTAGGGATCGAGCCCACAACCCGGGCATATGCCCTGACCAGGAATCTAACCAGGACCTCTCAGTTCATAGGACAACGTTCAATCCACTGAGCCACACTGACCAGGTTCTTCTCCAAACTTCTAATAGCTCAATTCAAATATTTACTGAGTGCTTACATGAGCCAGGCACTATGCTGGTTGGTACATAAGGGCACAGCCTCTACTCTTCTTAAAGAAATCAATCAGAAGGTTCATTTCCCATGAACGAAACATTCCAGTACTGTAAATATCATCTGTAGTGACAGACCTAAGTATTGGGAAATTTCTAGTTGTCTGGAAGAAAGTATGTCAAAATTTCATCAGTAGTAAGATTCAGTGATTACTTTCTTAGTTTCTTTGTATTTTTCCAAATTCTCTATGAAATGCATTTACTGCTTTTATAACCTGAATAAAAATCTAAATAATTGGGATAAAATAATAAATAAAAGCAGTAATATTTATTGAGCACTTATTATATACCCTGTGTACAAAGTGCTTTACATATATCATCTCCCTCAACAGAACAATCCTATAAAAGATTACCATCCAAATTTAAGAGATGAAGGAGCCAAGAGATAACAACTTGCTGAAATATCTTTTTTTTTGTTTAATCCTCACCCAAGGACATTTTTGCATTTATCTTCAGATAGAGCGGGAGGGAGAGGGAGAAAGAGAGAAACATCGACATGAGAGAGACACATCGAGTAGTCGCCACTCACATGACCCCATCAGGGGCTAGGGACAAACTGCAACTGAGGTACGTGTCCTTAACGGGAACCTAACCCAGGACTCTGTGGTCTGTGGGCCAACGCTCTAACCACTGAGCAAAACCGGCCAGGGCTAAAATATCTTTTACTGTTAGAAATTTTACTTATTTCTTCAGAAATAAACAGAGGTTGAGAACAAGATATAATCAGTTGTGTATTTATACAAGAGTCACAAACACATGCAACTTGTTGGATATATGACCCTGAGCAATGAACTAATTTCACTGAGCCTCAGTTTCTCCTGTAAAATGGGATTAATAGGACCTACTTCATTTAGGGTTCTTATGAGGATTAAATGAGACCACGTATGAAAAGAAAATAGCAATGTGTCTGGCAAATAACTGAATGCTCTATCAATCTCTTTATCTTCATTACTATCAGCTAAAAAATCTGGGTATATTTAACATGTCTGGGTTCAGTTTCCATACCTGTAAATTGGTGATAAAAGTAACTACACTATGCAATAATTGTGAGGACTGCATAGGATAATACACAACAGTCAAAACAGTTACCTGCTATAATTCTCCACAGGTCAAACAATATGGGACTGGCTAAATAAGCTACAGTAAATGTATACAAAGAATACTTTGCTACGGTATATTTAAGGGCATGAAAAAAATATCTGTATTCCTATTTTAGTCAAAGTATTATTAACATATGGTTAAGTTTAAAGACAGCTACAGATAGTATGTATAATAAAATCCTTTTCATTAAAAAATATATAAATAATATATATATAAAATATATATATAAATATATAAATAGCCCAGCCAGTGTGGCTCAGTGGATTGAATGTGGTCCCATGGACTAAGAGGTCCCGGTTCAATTCCCAGACAGAGCACATGCCTGGGTTTCGGGCTCAATCCCCAGTGGGAAGCATGCAGGAAGCAGGAGGCAGCCTACTGATGTTTCTCTCTCTCCCCCTTCCTCTCTCTACAAAAAATCAATAAAAACTTATTTTTAAAATATATATATAAATATACATTAATAGAAAATGTGGCAAGAACACACTCCAAGATCTATAATTTGTAAATATCAGCAACTAATCAATCAATTAAAAAAAAAAACCAGCCCCTGGCCAGTTTTGTTCAGTGGTTAGAGCTTCGGCCTGTGGTCCAGAGAGACCCGGGTTCAGTTCCTGCTAAAGGCATGTACCTCAGATGCAGTTTGTCCCCGGCCCTGGTTGAGTCATGCGGGTGGCAGCCACTTGATGTGTACCTTTCACGTCACGTTTCTCTCTCTCTCTCTCTCTCTCTCTCTCTCTCTCTCTCTCTCTCCCCTCCTCTCTCTCCCCTCAACTCTCTGAACAAAAAATGGGAAAATATCCTTGGGTGAGGATAAAAAAACACACACCTCGCTATTATCACTACAACTATCAAAGATAAAACAACAATCCCCGACCCTCCCAGGCTGTGTCTTTAGAAAAGCAGTAGCATCCCCAGACACTGCCACTTCATTCCATCATCATTGGGATCTTCTATGAATATTAAGAAAAGAAATTCACTCTGCAACTCCTCAAATTTTAGTGGGTTAAGAAGGGAGAAGGGAGCTATTTGTCTCTAATTAAAGACGTGCATTTTCATTTCCCACGGTTCCAGTTAAAAGCCATTATATTTTATATTGATATAATACAGAAAAATTACTTTGACTTAAATAGAAATATAAGAATATTTCTACAAGGCAAAATTTACTCCAAAAGATTTTGAGAATTCTAATTTTTTACTTAGAGGGACTGAATATTAATCTTTAAAATGAATATTTCACAGCATAGATGTCATTGAAGTTATAATCCTGTGACTGTGACCAGAGAATATTGTTATGAAATGAACAAAAGAATATTGCAGTTTCTTAATACAGAAAATGGATTAATAAGCAGGTAGAAATAATTTTCTACTAAAAGGTAGAAAGAAATAATTACCAGAGAAAAATATGAATTCTGAGCTGAAAAATATTACATTGTAAAGTATTTAGTTAAGAAGTGCTATTTCATTAATTTAAGGGTCCTAGTTCTTATTTCCATTGCAAATTATATTAATTTTTCATTTGAATTAATAACACTTAACCTATGGTTATACATGAATATGCAATGTTCGTTCAACAATGAAGGTGGGAAAGAAAAAACAGAATTCTCAAAAGCAAAAAAAAAAAAAATCCTTAAACCACAGAGTTTACAGAATCTTTATTTCTAGGTAAATTCTTCTGAACAAAATGCATACTTTTCTCAATTAACACAAAGGGTTCAAGACATCTGAATATATATGAAAAGCAAATTACGTCACTACTTTACCCTCTTAGTGTCATCATGTAATAACCCCCAGTAACCCAGAGAAAGATTTTTTATTTTCACTATTTTAACACTGTCTCCCTCTGCTGCATGGAAAATGATTCAAACTTTCATTTCCCTTAAGATATAATTATGACAGGCCCTTGGATAATGTCGTTTCATTCAACACCATTTTGTTATAAGTTGAGATGCTATAGAAACTTAAGTTGTTTATATCAGTAAGTCCATCCAAGTTTCATCAGGTGTTGTTTCACTTAAAGTCACAGAACTTATCCATGACTCGAAGTGAGGATTTACTGTACAATTCTTTCAATCTGTATCCCATAAAATACAGCTTAAAAGTTGGTAGTATAACAGAGTAATATAAATATAATCCTTCCAAATACATCCAACCTAAGCAAAGAAGTACTAGCTTTATAGAAGTAAAAGCATTCCCCTGGGCCAGACTGAACAATTAAGTAACTATATGAACTTGGAGAAAGCATTTAAGTCCATGAACCTGTTTCTTTTCATCTATATTACTAAAAATGAAAATACTCCGCCAATTTCATAGGGTAACATCAGAATCCAATTTAAATTCATTCACTGAACAATTAATTACTGAACACCCACTATGTACAATGCACAGGGCTTAGGTTGCCAAATTGAGCAAATGGAACATACTTATACTAAAAAAAAAAAAAATTTTTCAATGTTTATAACATTAACTGGGCATCCTGTACTTTATCTGGCAAACCTACCTGAAGCATATACAAAGACACAAATAAGACATGCTTTTTATCCTAAAAAGACTTACTAAATGCAAGGGAAATAAAATGTATACATAAACAAATTAGTATACAAGAAAGAAAAGTAGTTATATAGTATTTAAAGAAAGAGAAAAGGAGCAATAAAAGTCAAACTGGAAACAGAGCAAAGGAGTTGGAGAATGGTTAGAATCAACAAGCACTGCCAAGGTTCAAAAGAGAAAAAAGTTAAGAGATGACAGTGCTTAGTTACATCCTCAACTCTAGCCACACAGGCTTGTGTATACCAAACACACTATACTTTTCAATTTATTTTTCAATTGTAGTTGACATAAACATTATATATTAGTACAATATAGTGATTAGACCTTTATATAACATATGAAGTGATCCCACTGATAAGTCTAGAACACATCTGGCACCATACATAGTTATTACAATATTATTGACTATATTCCCCATGCTGTACTTTACATCCCTGTAACCACTGTTATAATTGGCGATTTGTACTTAATCCCTTTCACCATTTCCACCTAACCCCTCAACCCTGCTCCCATCTGGCAACCATTAACCAATTTGTTCTCTGTATCTACCACACATGCTATTCTTCCTAAATATATAATAGCTCAGTACCACAATTTTTTAAAGTCTTTTAACGTCTATTCATACAAAATGGTTTACATTTAAATTACTTCAAAAGGACATGCATTAACAATCTCTTGATAGAAATATGTCCAAAATGCCAAACTTCTGATTTTCTGACATATATCCCTCCCAAATCTAGCTATAGTTTTGTGCTTAATTACTTCATCTAATATTCTTTTATTAAACAAATTCTATACTATGTGGATGGATGGGGCAAGTAAGACTAAAATCTTGATTTCATCCTTTTTCTCACTTTCTCCAGTAAAAGCAACTTTGTTTCCTCTCTCCACCTGATAATTACACAGCTTTGTACTCTGTAACCTTCAAATAGAAAAACAGGCAGATCATTTTTAACTAGATGCAAAAAATCTGCTTTACTCTGCACTTCCTGTTCCAACCCTCTGCACATGTCATCTTCTTTCTGCAGGCCCAGTTACCACTCTTCATGACTCAGGCTGACCCTGATTCCATTCTATGATAGCAAAATTCACAGGCTCTTAGAACTTGGACTCTCACAATATATTGCAGGACATGTATAAAGAAGGACATGTATAAAGGACATGTATTTAGTAATAAAAAATCTATTATATCATTTATTCTCATTAACTTATCATATACTTTCATATAATTTTACAGATAAAAGAATTTCAGTCATTATTTTTCCTACTAAATTATACTACAATGTTTCTATATTTTGAAAATATTACTACGTACAACTTTTTCCAACTATCTTACCTTTGTTGAAAGTACTTTAAAGGTGCTCTGTTCTGGTATTATAGGATGAAGAAGTCTCAGTTTCAAATTGTAATCCTCTCCAGAAGGAAGTTTCACCAAAGCAGACAACTAATGAACACAAAATTAGTAGCACATTTTATAAATTTATATAATGAAGGATAAAATACTTAAACTAAATACAATTACAGAATTTCAATACTGTTGCAAAATATTTGAAACACAGATTTAAGAACCTCAAAATAGTCCTTTTTCCCCATTTAATATCCTTCACATGAATTCTCAGACACGATTAAATTAAATAGTGAAAATGTTTCAAAACACATATTTAATATTTAAATCTCAATAAAGTCAAGATAGGAGAGCAAAATGATACAGCATAAAAGAAAGTATTCAACCCTGGCCAGTTTGGCTCAGCAGTTAGAGCACTGACCCACAGACCAAAGAGTCGTAGGTTAGATTCTAGTCAAGGGCGCGTGCCTCGGTTGCAGTTCAGTCCCCAGCCCTGACTGTGCAGGAAGCAATCACTGGATGTGTCTCTCTCACATCAATGTTTCTCTCTTTCTTTCCCTCTCTTCCTCCCTCCCTCCCACTGTATCTGAAGATAAATGGAAAAATATCCTTGGGTGAGGATTAAAAGAAAGTATTCATATGCAAAACACCTACTTCTACCACTAATTCTTAAATACCTATCATAGATTTTTCTACTAATGCTAAAAAACCAGGATATTAAAAGTCATATTCATTTAATACAGTAAGTAAATGCTAAAATGTATAAATCTCACAACTAATAAGTGGACCTTTCATGAAGTATGCCACACAAATGTAAGCAAATCAAATATCTTACTCATATCTTTTATATTTGTCAACCAAGTTCTGCTCTGAATTACAAATCTAAAGAATGCAATCTAGTTATAACCTACCATATACATACTCTTGTCTCAAAACTTAAAATGATTCAAACTAAAAAGCAATGCTTTAGGTTACCATCAGCATATTATACATTATCTCAGGAAGAAATGACATAGCTGATGAACTACTATAGATTACTCTGGAATATACTATATTTGTAAATGAACGTATTTAATCTCAACATGAAAAATGGTTAAAAGACAAATAATAACCTCTTTCTCTGAAAATTCCACATTTACATCATTCTTCTGAACATTCTTGATCATAAGTGTAATGATTACTTGAGATTCTGTTTGATACCAGTCATACCTATTAAAAAAGAAAAAAGAAACTTAAAATAAAAATTCCAATTTTGTTGTTGCTTGTTTTATCAAGATAAAAACTACAATCTGATAAACAAGAGCTCCACCTTGAGGAACAAAACAGCACAGCAACTGCTGATCCACAATTTTACATAACTAATTTCCTATGATCTGTACTGATAGACTAGAATAAGATAGATGATGCCCCAAACCTTTCCATTGGATTTAAACACTTACATGATTTTCAGGGTTCTCACTTATATGTCTAATTCCGCTGTGCTTAAGGTAACATTAAAGAAATTTATGCCAAATGGCTAAATTACTATACACCATCAATAACTTCACACTATCATTTCAATCTAATACTAAAAGAAACATTTCTAATCCCAATTTTGCAGGTGAACAAATAAAAGGCTCAGAAGGGTGAAGCAATCAGTCAGTCACTAGCAGGTGTGACACTGGACCCAGGTCAGCTTGACTCCACATTCTAAGATCTCTTGACTGAAGCTGGGAGCAAACAGTCCTGAGCACAAGGTGGCAGAATTAAAATAATTCTGAGCTAAAGTAACATGGAGCTAAAATTAAAATAATGTAAAAGTTTAACTCATCCTTCCAGGTACAGCATTAAATACAGTATTTTCTTTCAATCTCAAGACATGTGGGAAAACTAGTGTGCATAAAGATTCTGTGGATCTTTCTCACTGAAAGCTCTAAAAATTAAAGAATCCTAACTTTCAAATTAAACTAGATTATAAACTCCATGAGCTCAAAGCTATTTATCTACCGTGCCACTATTACTTTCCCAGGACTAAGCACAGTGCCTGGTACACACTATATTTATTAAAGCAATGTTGGACTATTCTATGCTCCAAAAATCAAAATTATTTGATGTTTGTGTGTCCTATCTCTGCTGCTACCACGAAGCTAGTCATGTACACTTGGTACTTGGAGAGTACCAAGAAAGTATCCTCTATCTCCCCAGAAAGAACATAAATCAGTTAGCATAGGTCGGGTGGTTCAGTTGCTTGGAACACTGTTCCATGCACCAAAAAGGTTGTGTCCCAGTCCAGGCACATACCTAGGTTATGAGTTCAATCTCTGGTCAGGGCATCTGTGGGAGGCAACCGATCAATATTTCTCTCTCACATCGATGTTTGTTTCTTTTTCTTTCTCTCTCTTAAATCAATAAACATATCCTTGGGTGAGAATTTTAAAAATTTTTTAAAAAAAGAACATAAATAAGTTATTTTGTTTTAACATTTCCAAGCCATTTTAGGTATTAAAATGCACCCTGATTAAAGAAATGAACTTTAAGAATCTCACAGTTTCCCTCTGAAATTCAGTGAGGGTGCAAAGCTCCAAATCAATGCCTTGTGTTTGTTAGTCCTAAGAATACAATTTGTACACATGGCTAATAAATAATTTAAAATAAATTCAAATACTTCTTAGATGCATATCCATTACTCTAACTACTGCCCTCAGCAAAGTTATTTTCAACACATAAAAAACTTACTCCAGCCCTGGCCGGTTTGGCTCAGCGGTTAGAGTGTCCGCCTGCGGTCCGTAGAGACCTGGGTTCAGTTCCCGCTAGGGGCATGCTCAGTTGCAGTTTGTCCCCGGCCCTGGTTGGTCGTGCGGGTGGCAGCCACTCGACGTGTCCCTTTCACATCGATGTTTCCCTCTCTCTCTCTTCCTCTCTCTCCCTCCTACTCTGTCTGTACAAAAAATGGAAAAATGTCCTCGGATGAGGATTAAAAAAAAAGAAAAAAAAACTTACTCCAAATATAAAAGGCAGGTAAAGTTACAATTCTATCAAGCCTACTACTAACTTATTTATCTGTGTGTTAATAACTTAATTGGAAGAGGCTCTCCTTAATATATGGAAAAGTGACAAAACATGAAACAAGTTTAAAGTAGAGAAATGATCTGAATTTAACTTTATACTGCCCGGCCGGTGTGGCTCAGTGGTTGAGCGTCAACCCACGCACCAAGAGGTTCTATCCCTGGTCAGGGCACATGCCCTGGTTGTGGGCCAAATCCCCAGTGGGGAGTATGCAGGAGGTGGCCAAATCGATGTTCTCTCTCATCGATGTTTCTATCTCTCTCTCCTTCTCCCTTCCTCTCTCTCTAAAATCAATAAGATAAAGATAAGTTAAAAAAAAAAAGTACTAATACTAATCAGTAAACAGCCTTACAATTAGTTTTTCCAGGCTATAATATGACTTTTATAATATGATTTTAAAGAAACACCTCAAATCACAGGGTAAGGACTTGCTTACTATTAAATAGGGTTTTTTGTTTTTTTTTAAATTTGTTTTTTTCCTTTTATTATTCTTAGAGAGAGAGGAAGGAGAAGGAGAAAGAGATAGACACATCAGTGAGAGAGAACAGCAACTGGCCGCCTCCTGCATGCCCCTCACTGAGGACAGGGCCCACAACCTGGGTATGTGCCCTGACCAGGAATCAAACCGGCAACCTCTTGGTGCATGGGTCAATGCTCAACTACTGAGCCACACTGGCTGGGCAAACAACTGTTTTTTTCCCCCCTTAGCCATACTTATCATGCGTTGTTTTACAAAAAAGAAACACTTACTTGATTTTTGACTCATGAGTCCTCTGGGATACAGACTGATTTTGGCAAGTTGAAAGAAAAAGATTTTTTACAAGTTAGCTTAGCAACCGTAAATCAAAATGTATGTATTATTAATTTACCCAGTACTATAGTTACTTTGATATGGAATAAACTTAACTACATGAAAACGTCCTTCAAAGACAAAGCATGGTATCTAATTCATTAAATACTAGGCTTCACAAAAATTAGAATATTCAGCATTTTATGAGTTTCAATTTTAAAAAAGATTTTTCTTTTAAAATAAAAATTTAAAAAGCATAAAAACAAAACATTCTAAATGTATGACTGAAAAAGACTACATATAAAATGTCCAGTTCCAAGAATAAGCACCTCTCTTAAACTTAACATTTAAAAACCACTTTTCAGAATACTGTATAACTTGCTCTGGAACATACGAACAAACATACTCCTGATAACATCTTACTCCATTTATGGCCTCTCTACAACAAACGTTGTACATTGCCCATCAAGAACCAAAGTGAATTGAATCTTAACCAATCCATATTTTCTTAAACTACATGTGTGCCAGAGTTAAAACTATGTAAATCTAAGAACTTGCCCTGGATTATAGGCGACCTCTATGTTGTCCCTAAATAAAAACGGAGGAGATGGAGTTTGGAGGAAGCAAGTAAAACCACTTGAGAGAGCTGAATGTGACTCCGATTTACTTTCCAGTGTTAACTATTGAGAAACACCTGAATCTAGATGATATCAAGTGAAGATACTAACTAGAACAGATTCATCTTTGTATCAAGATAAAACTAGATTGACCTATAGTAGTGATAATGTGAACTATGGCTAAACAGTTTATGTCACCAGTCTTTGTATTCAAATGCCACTGTGTTGTTTTCAGGCCTAATCCCAACCTAAATAGTGTAAAGACCTGGACAAAAACACTAACAGGCGAAGGAAGCCAACTTTTAAACAACTACTTCAATCTATTCCCTACTCATCATCCCCATGAATATGAAGAAGCCTGGAGATATAGGGATAGCCAGAAAGTGCTCACTTTTAGTGATGTTCAAAACCTTAGTCACTACATGTGCACATAACTGGCCTGATGCCCACAACAACCTGCCTGAGGTAGATTAGCCCTATCAGGTCCAATATACACATGAAGAAAGCTCAGAAGACAAATGAGTTTCTCAATGTCACAATGTAATTCTAGAAGACAGATGTAAATCTTCCTTTAGAGATGGGGGAAAAAGAAAAAAAAAAGCTCAAAATAGTTAAGTAATTGCTCATGAAGAGAGTTAGAACTACACATATATCTCCTAACTCCTTGTCATCCTATGACTTGACTAAATATGTAGATGAGCACTCCTAAAAACCATTAGCCATAATTTAACTCTGTGTGTTATAAAAAACCATTAGCCATAATTTAACGGTGTGTTATATATAAACCTAAGTTGGTTAAAACAAAAATAAAAAAATCAAACAATGTTCCTCAATTCCACTAACATTTTTATTAATTAAAAAAGCCTTGAAAAGTTTCATGGACAAAACAAGTCAAAACTGAGTTAGAGATAAACATTTCCAATTTTTTCATCTTGTATTTTAGCATACCACAATAAGCCTTGCAATTACTTCCAAGGCAGAAATTATTCAACCTAAATGTGATGTTTTTCAGCAGAGAAAACAAATAATCATCCTGACCATACTAAAATATATTAAGTCAACTAGAACCACACTAAATGCATTAAAAGAGCCTCAAGCCCTGGCCAGTTTGGCTCAGCGGTTAGAGCGTCAGCCTGCAGTCCAGAGAGACCCAGGTTCGGTTCCCGCTAGGGGCACGTACCTCGGTTGCAGTTTGTCCCTGGCCCTGGTTGGGTTGTGCAGGTGGCAGCCACTCGATGTGTTCCTTTCACGTCGATGTTTCTCTCTCTCTCTTCCACTCTCTCCCTCCCACTCTATCTGAAGAAAATATTAAAAGATGTCCTCGGGTGAGGATAAAAAAAAGCCTCAAAATTTTCATGACTATGAACTTCTATATTGCCCTGGCTGGTGTAGCTCAGTGGGTTGAGCATTGTTCCATGCACTGAGAGGTCACCAGTTCAATTTCTGGTCAGCATATGTGCCCAAGTTGCAGGCTTGATCCCCAGTATGGGACATGCAGGAAGTAGCCAATAGATGTTTTTCTCTCATCGATGTTTCTCTCCCTCTCCCTTCCTCTCTCAAAAATCAGTAAAAACATATATATTTTTTAAATCCATACTTATTTCACCCAAGTAATGTTATTTTAGTTGCTAAATGAACAAGTATTTAAATGGTATTGCTTAATATTTAACTGAAAGATCATTCTGAGTCTTTTCTCAAATATGCAATTAAAAATTTGAAGGATAGAAACTTTGAACTTACCTCACTTAACTGTGACTCTATTAAAAAAAAAACACACAAAAAAGAAATTTTCAGATAGTACATTAATAGGCAAATTTGCATACATGATTTCTATGGCACATACACACTGATTTAGTAAACCAATTCTCCATACATTCCAAATAGAGAAAAGTGATTTAATTTTGCATCCTGGATCCACCTGAGAATCCTCAGTAATTACTTACCAGTGATACCATTGCAAAACAAATTCATCCACACCCCCCTTTCAACATAGCAAACTCAGAATACCTTGGAAGACTTCCAGTCAAGATGGTGGTGTAGGTAAACACAGTACCCACCTCCTCCAAAAATCACATCAAAATTACAACTAAACTACAGAACCATCATTCAGAACCGCCTGAAATCTGGAGGAACAGAAGTCCAACAACTAAGGAATTAAAGAAGCAGCCACATCCAGACAGGTAGGAGGAGTAGACACAAGGAATGGGCTGGTCCCACAACCAAGTGTGGCAAATAAAATTCGGGAGGGATATCTCAGCTGCAGAGGTTCCCCCAAAGGAGATTAGGAGTCCCAGCCCCTAACTAGGCCCTCAACCCAGGGTTCCAGTGCCAGAAAGAGAAGTTCCCATAACTTCTGGCTGTAAAAAATAAGAAGGGATTGAGGTTGAGAGAGAGGGAGAGCTCCTGGAGCCCTAGGCAGTTTCTCTTAAAGGGCCTATGCACAGACTTACTCGGACTCACTCCCTCTGAGCTCCAGTAACTGGGGCAGCAGCTTAAAAGCCACCAGAGACATATGGGGAGAAACTGAATTATTTTGCATCAGAACAAGATTAGGGGGTGGGAGGATATAACAGCTTTCTCCCAGACAGAAGTGTTGGCAGGAACCACTGTTCCTTTCATGAGCCCTTTCCTCACAGATCCCTCAGGCAGGGGCCATATCTGAGATTCCATCAACCTGGTTCTCACTGTTTGCCCTGCCTTGGAAATCCCTGAGGCCCTGCACCACCCAACTTTCAGGCCCACCTAAGCTGTTAAAAAGCGACTTTTCCCTACACATTGCCCATCTTGGCTTATGCTTGAGTTGGCTTATGCTTGAGATTTTCCTAAAATCTCTCAAACAAGCAGCATTTGGCCTCAGAAAGCCCCAAACCTCTCATTAAGTGGCCCCAGTGCCAAAACTAGCAGTAACCAGCCTTGGTTCACAGCTGGACCTCACCTAGGCACCTCCAAGCCCAGCAGCAGTTCCAGCCATCTGCATATCACTTTGTAGCTCATGCCAGGCTGCCCCAGGCTGAACACAGGCAGTGGCTGACCTTGGCTGGCACATCCCGGGAGGCCAGAGCCAGTGCATCCAGTGGACGGCTTCACACTGTGGTAATCACCATCACACAACCACCTCAGAAGTGACACACACAAACTCAGCAGACGCTAGAGCCCACCAAAGAAAGTCCTGCTCTGTGGGGTGGGTGATCCTCCACTGTGATCAGAGGTTGCAGCCAGTCCTTGCAGGTGATTGTTGGGAGTTAATCACTCCCACTGATGTGCTAACAGCAGTCAGGCTCAAATACAAAAGGAGGGTATACAAAGACCACATGGGGGGGGTGCACCTTGAATGACTGGCTGGGGTGATCAGGGAGGCTGTGCTACTGGACCCTACAGAACACCTACTACATTAGGCCACTCTACCAAGCCTCGGAGACATAGCAGTTTTACCTGATACGTGGAAACAAACACAGGGAGGCTGCCAAAATGAGGAGACCAAGAAACAGGTCCCAAATGAAAGAACAGAGCAAAACTCCAGAAAAACAACTAAACAAAATGGAGACAAGCAATCTACTAGACACAGTTCAAAACACTCATTATAAGGATGCTCAATAAACTTTGGGGAAGAGTAAATGAACTTAGTGAGAATTTCAACAAGAGATAGAAAACATAAAAAAGAAACAGAAATGAAGAAGACATAAGCAGCCCTGGTTGGTTTGGCTCAGCAGTTAGAGCGTCGGCCTGCGCACCACAGAGACCCAGGTTTGGTTCCCGTTAAGGGCACGTACCTTGGCTCCGGTTGGGGTCAGGTGAGTGGCAACCATTTGGTGTGTCTCTCTCACACAAATGTTTCTCTCTCTCTCTCTTCCTCCCACTCTCCCTTCCGCTCTATCTGAAGATAAATGTAAAAATGTCCTCAGGTGAGGATAAAAAAAAAAAATACATTAGCAAATAAAAAATACATTACAGGGAATCATAGTGGAGATGAAGCCAAGGATCAAATCAGATATTTGGAAGATAAGGAGGCAAAAATCACCCAATCAGAACAGCAAAAAGAAAAAAGAATAAAAAGAAAAAAAACGAGGCTATTGTAAGGAAGCTCTGGGACTTTAAGAATACGAACATTCACATCATGGGGGTGCCAGAAGAAGAAGAGAAAGAGCAAGAAATTGAAAACCTCTTTGAAAAAGAAATGACAGAAAACTTCCCTAACTTGAAAAAAATAGACATACAAGTCCAGGAAGCGCAGAGTCCCCCAAACAAGATGAACCCCAAAAGGCCCACACCAAGACACATCATAATTAAAATGCAAAAAGTTAAAGACAAACAGAAAATCTTAAAAGTAGCAGGAGAAAAGCAATTAGTTACCTACAAGGGAGCTCCCATAAGGCTCTCAGCTGATTCCTCAACAGATATTTTGCAGGCCAGAGGGATTGACAAAAAATATTCAAAGTGATGAAAAACAAGGACATATAACCAAGATTACTCTACCTAGCAAAGCTATCATTTAAAATTGAAAGATGGACAAAGAGCTTCCCAGACAAGAAAAAGCTAAAGGAGTTCATCACTACCAAACCAGTATTACATGAAATGTTAAAGTCTTCATTAAGAGCCCTGGCCGGTTTGGCTCAGCAGTTGGAGTGTCAGCCTGCGGTACAGAGAGACCCGGGTTCGGTTCCCGCTAAGGGCACGTACCTCGGCTGCAGTTTGTGCCCGGCCCTGGTTGGTCGTGCGGGTGGCAGCCACTCGATGTGTCCCTTCCCGTCGATGTTTCTCTCTCTCTCTCTCTCTTCCTCTCTCTCCCTCCTGCTCTATCTGAACAAAAAATGGAAAAATATCCTCGGGTGAGGATAAAAAAATAAAATAAAATAAACAAACAAACAAGCAGAACAGAAACAGACTCATAGATTCAGAGAACATTTTGACAGTTGCCAGACTTTGGGATGAGGGGCAGTTGGGTGAAAAAAGGTAAAGAGATTAAGAAGTGCAAATTGGCCCTGGCCAGTTTAACACAGCAGTTAAGTGTCAGCCCATGAACCAAAGGGTCACAGGTTCAATTCCCAATTCCCGGTCAAGGGTATGTACCTGGGTTGGGGGTCATACAAGAGACAACCAATCAATGTCTCTCTCACACTGATGTTTCTCTTTCCCTCTCCCTCCTCCTCCCTCCTCCTCCTCCTCCTTCTTCTTCTTCTTCTTCTTCCTCTCTCTCTCTCTCTCTCTCTCTCTCTCTCTCGTGCACGCGCTCTCTCTCTCTCTTTCTCTCTCTCCCCCTCCCTTGCACTCTACCTGAAAAGCAATGGAAAAATATCTTCCAGTGGCTCTCACTATGGAGCACAGCCATGCCTCTCCCCACCCAGTTCTTTCCCTAGAGCATGGCCCCTCCCCACCAGCGTGCTCAACATCTCAAGCCAAAACTCAAGAACTGAGGTTGCTGAACAGAGGTAAACACCTGGAGCCTTTTTTTCACCACTAACACCTGTACACCCAGAGAATGGAGAAAAGCCCACTCTGACCTGGCTAGGAGGTGTGCACTTGGAGAGCTTAACTCAGGTATGCTGTCCATTCTCCTAATCTGAGGACAAGGGGGACTGCCAGACATCATGGAAAGATTATCAACCTGATTATCGGAATGCTGGATCCTGGACCTATGACTGTGACTCACTGGCAAACAACCCCTGCAGCCCCTAGCCTACATTCCTCTCCCTAGCCTGAAACCTTTTACAATCCCCTCCCCACCCACATTCCTCCCCCCCTTGCCTGTCATTGTTTCTCTACCCTTTAAAAACAGCTGGAAAGGGGGGGGGGGCAGAGCAGATTCTACAGGATGATCCATTACTCTCCCATACTGCCAGCAATATTGGAATAAATGCAAACAATAATCAAAAAATAATTAATTTTTTTAAAGAAAAAGATCCTCAGCTGAGGATTAACAACAACAAAAAAAAGTAGTACATATTAGTTGTTACAAAATAGTCATAGGGATGTAAAGTATATCTTATGGAATACAGTCTAATAACTATGTATGGTGTTAGATGAATGCAAGATTTACTGGGATGATCACCTAATAAGTTATATAATGTCTAATCACTAGAGGGTACACCTAAAATTAATATAATAATGTATGTCAAATGTAATTGAAACTTTTTAAAAGAAAAAAAAACTTTACCAAAAACCAGCTTTTCAGATTCTCCTTGGGAGAGTACGAGTCAAGAGACCTAGGCATTGTCCTAGACATACTAAAGGGAATGAGGAGAGAAGAGCAAGGGTAGGAGCTGCTCACAGAAACAGGCCCCAGGATGGGGATGGGGTGGGGAGTGTATGACATCCCCAGGAGGATGCAACCTATCACCAAAGAGAGAAGGGTCTGGTACTTTACAGGTTACACCTATTTTTTAAGTTGCACACTGGGGTAGGTTAGATAGTCACTGATACCTGAACCTTGAAAACATCATGCTAAGTGGAAGAAGCCAGAAAACCGCATGCTGTATGATTCCACTTATAGGAAATGCCCAGAATTGGCAAATCCATAGAGACAGAAAGTAGATTAGTGGTTGCTTAAGGCAGGGGAGCTTGAGAGTTGGGAGGCAATGGAGAAGGAGAGGTGCTAAAGATTATGGGGTTTCTCTTGAGGGGATGAAATGTCCTAAAATTGGTTATGGTGTTGGTCGCACAATTTTTTTTTTTTGGATGGTTGCACAATTGGGTGAATTGTATGGTATGTGAATTCTATTTCTATACAGCTGTTATTTAAAAGAAGTTTTTTAAAAGAATACCTTTGGACCCTGGCTGGTTTGCTAAGTGGTTAGAGCACTGGCCTGCGGACCAATGAGTCACGGATTCGAGTCCAACCAGACAGGTACCTCGGTTGCGGTTCAACCCTGGCCCTGGTCGGGTCATACAGGAAGCAACCAGTCAATGTGGCTCTGTCACATCAATGTTTCTCTCTGTCTCTCTCTCTCCCCCACTCTGTTTGATGATAAATGAAAAAATATCCTCAGGTGAGGAATTAAAAAAAAAAAGAATACCTTTGGAAATTCCTATCTAAGGGAACATGCATTACTTACAAGTTATAAAGTTGTTTAAAAAAAACAATGTCAAACATTTACTTCTTTTTAAATTTAAAGACTGAGAAACCTACACACTTACCATTGTGAGCTTCTTGACACCTTTTAATCCAAACAATAAAATTAGCATCTGCACCTAGAGAGAGTAAACTGACTGTAAAAATCATTCATCTGCACAATTTAACATATTATTCAACAAATATTTATTGAATACCTACCATGTTCCAAACAGTGTTTTAGGCACTGAGGATTTAGCAGTGAATTAAACAGACAAAAATACCTCTCCTAACAGCCTGCAGCAACCCTAATGTTATAGCTATAAATACACCAAAATAGGCTTAATACTTAGTTGTTCATCCTGAAGAATTTTAACTTAAATTAATTTTGGCCCAGCCAGTGCGGCTCAATGGTTAAGTGTCAAAGAGGTCGCAGGATAGATTCCCAGTCAGGGCACATGCCCGGGTTGTGGGCCTGATCCCAGCGGGGGGCAAGCAGGAAGTGGCCAGTCGATGTTCTCGCTCACTGATGTTTTTATTTCTCTCCCTCCTCTCCCTTCCTCACTAAAATCAATAAAGAAAAATAAATTATTTTAATTTCAAAAAATGTAATATTTTATTTTTTAAAAATTTGGATGTAACTCTGACCATTCTTCTCACTAGCATCCTCCCTTCATCCGGAGATGGGGATCGTATGATATAACCTCATTGCTATAAGGTGGGTCTGCATGTGCTGACCCTTCCCATGGGGCTAGGAGAAAGAGTACAGGGCAAGGTATGCAACATATAAGTAGGTGCACAATACTTAAAGAAGGAACAGAAGGAGGTGGGATAGAAGATTGCAGAGCCACAGTCCTAGCAGGAAGAGGTGAGCCAGTGGGGAGAAAGGAGGTTGGGTGGGATTGGGAAGGGGCCTTGCCAGACACCTGTTAAAGGCCTGCAGGGTTGGGGTTCACTGGTTCACTTAGATCTTCCTAATCAGAAAGACACAGTGGGATGGGGGCCAGTCCTGGGTTCCAAGAGCTCAGGGCTCCTCTAGGACCTGAACCCCTGCTTCTCTGGGCACTAGGGTGTGTCTGTGCTGGCCTTGGGCCCAGTGAAAATCCCTCTGGTCCCAATACTGTTTGTTCCCTGAATTCTTGGGGAGCCCAGGTGAGGGGGCTGGGTCCTGCCAGGTACTCCAGACACTGAGTCTTCATAACCTGAGGCAGACTAAAAAATTTCATTTTAACCACAGTCAACCTTACTGGTTCCCAGATATAATCTACATTTCCCTTCACCCCTCTCCTCTTAAAGGAGCTTCCTCTCTCATACAACAAAATCAGGCCCAAAGGAGAATCCTAATATGCCTTCTGTTAGGATGGGGTAGAGGCTTGATAACCAACCTTTCTCAAGCCCCATTTGCTCTCCAATGCAGCCACCTACCTACTCTGTCTACTATTCTCTCAATGGCTCTACTTCTTACCATGCCTTTCTATTCTTTTTTTTTTCTTTAATATATTTTTATTGATTTTTTAGAGAGAAAAAAAGGGAGAAAGAAACAGAAACATTGATGTGAGAGAGAAACATTGATTGGCTGCCTCCTACACTCCCCCTACTGGGTTTCAAGTCCGAAACCCCTGGATGTGCCCTGACTGGGAATCCAACCGGGACCTCTCAGTCCATGGGACAATGCTCAATCCAGAGCCACACAGCTAGGCTTCTTTACCATGTCTTTCCTACCAACATCAAGAAGTATCTTTAGCCCAGCCAGTATGGCTCACTGGTTGAGCACTGACCCATGCACCAAGAGATTGCCGGTTCAATTCCCAGTCAGGACACATGCCCAGGTTGTGGGCCCAATATCCAGTGGGGGGCATGCAGTAGGGGGCCAATCGATGTTCTCTCTCATCGATGTTTCTCTCTCTCTTTCCCTCTCCCTTCCTCTCTAAAATCAATGAAGAAAAAAAGATTATTAAAAAATAGAAGGCCCTGGCCGGTTTGCTCAGTGGTTAGAGCGTCAGCCCACAGACCGGAGAGTACCAGGTTCGGTTCCCGCTAAGGGCATGTACCTTGATTGCAGTTTGTCCCCAGCCCCGTCTGGGGTTGTGTGGGTGGCAGCCAGTCGATGTGTCTCTCTCACATCGATGTTTCTCTCTCTCTCTCTCTTCCTCCTGCTCTTTCTGAAGATAAATGCAAAAAAAAAAAAAAAAAAAGAAGGAATTTAGGAAGAGAACTTTCTGTTGCTCTAAAAAGATAAGAAAAAGGCTTAGAAATCTAGAAGATGGAATGACTCATTTCTCTTCAGGGTTTTCAAACACGTATTAAGGCACTAGATAACTGGACTCTAGAGTTTGCTTAGTGCAATTATGACTTGCTAATTAAACAGCCAGCCATATTATTCACAGACCACACTTGGGATAACCAAATTTGAGAGTAACTCCTATTGCCTTGATCTCTTCTTTCCTAACTTATAGGTTCCATTTGCAAAGTTGGGCCTAATGCTCTTTCTCGAGTAGGGATACAGCAGAAAAGCAAATATATTCAAAGCAGTACAGAGTAAATGTTAACAAATATAACCACACAATGCTTTAGAGCAAGGTTTCTCAAACTCAGCATTACTAATATTTTGGACAAGATACTTCATTGTGGGAGACTGTATGGTGCATTGCAGGATATTTAGCAGCACCCCTGTCTCTACTGACTAGATGTCATTAGCACATTCCCCATTCACCAGTCATGATAATCAAAAATCGCTTCAGGCATTGCCAAATGTTCCCCAGGGAACAAAATCAAAATCAGGAAGTTAGGAACCACTACTTTAGAGAATTGTGATTAACACTCTATCACAAGATGAAGATAAAATGATAGTACACAATTAAGGTTACGTACTCTACAATTATCTATGAGATTACTTATGACCACTGCCTTTTAGTCTTTTGCAGATTTTTGATTCTTGGCTCTTATTATTTCTATATATGTGCACAGCTGTAGTTATTTTCATATATAGGTATCCCTTGCTTTTCGAAAATTCACAGTACACCACTTCACTTTTACAGACCTACACTACTACTTGTTTTCGCTATCTGAAAGAAAATCCAAATAGGATTTTTGCTTTTACACAAAAAGCAAAAATAGCATTGTTTGTTTGTTCTGCACAAGCCATTATAGAGGCAGTGTGTACCCCAAGGAGTGAGAGTGCCCCTACCAAGCTCCTTCCCTAGGAACTACAATCAGCATCTCCACACTGACCTGCCATGGCTCTGAATTGTGTCTGTGAGCATCTGTGCTTTATCTCAATTTATTGTGTGTATCTGTTAGCAAGATGTATCTTAAGTTATTAGAAAACCCTAACAGATATTGAAAGAGTATTTATGCACTTAGCCCAAAACTGGATGTAATTAAGGATTTTGACTGTGATGAACGAAATAAAGACATTCTGCGTACATTGAACCTGCTTGCGTCTAGTGTTTGTAATATTTACACACAGAGAGAAACCAGTGACTATTGGTTCTGCTAATAACAAAATAGTCTCTTTGAGCTGGCACCCAGTAATAGATAAAATAAAAAATCTATTGCTTGAGTGGTGGGTGTACAAAGCGTGGTGTTCTGTTATCATATTCTTCAGGAGAAATCAGTCAGTCATTTAAAAAGTGAAACTACACAGTACAAACATTATTTCTACTTTATACATGCTGTGTTTTTATCACATCATTCCTGCTTTTACTATCTGTTAGTGTTATTTTAGGTTTTTATGTGTTATTTGGTATGATTTGGTAGGTTATTTTTGGGTCTGGGAATACTTAAAATTTTTTGCATATATATCCATGATAATTCTTCACTTTACACCATTTTTGGCTTATGAAAGGCTTTATAGGGATGGTCCTACTTTCAGATGGCAGGGAAAACCAGTTATTTCTCTAAAAAAGATGACATTAGCCCTGGCTGATGTGGCTCAGTTGGCTGAGCATTGTCCCATGCACCAAAAGGTTGCTGGCTCGATTCCTGGTCAGTGCACATACCCAGGTTTCGAGCTCAATCCAATTCGGGTTGTGTAGGAGGCAGCCAATCATGTTCCCCTCTCACATCAATGTTTCTCTCTCTCTCTCTTCCCCCGCCCCCTCAAAAAATCAATTAAAAAAAAGATATCAGAAACTCATAGTACTCTCAAAGTTCCATGTTTCTTCTGTGCACGATCCAGGGATAGAGAACCTTTTTTTTTCTGCAAAGGGCCATTTGGATATTTATAACATCATTCGAGGGCCATACAAAATCATCAACTTAAAAATTAGCTGGACATTCTCCACCCCTGAAACTAACACTTCACTTCTCAATAAAAATCTTCATTGTTAAGATTTCCTATATCAGCAAACTGAATAAAACTTAAAGTAAATAGACTTCTGAACATCAGAGCAAATTAAATTTCCATTTGTCTATTAGGAAAAAACAAAACCATACTAAGTACAAGGAGCACACTGAGTGTTTATATATAGCTTTTAGCTTCTAATGGTAAAATTTATCTGTCGTTTAAATGCTAAAGAAAGGCCAATTTAATCAATATTTAAGTAAACTCAAATTCTGCAATTAACACAAAATACCATTAAAAGGAGAAAAAATGGTGTCAGGTTTCTATAATTAACTTGAGATTACATTAACAAAATTCAGCTATGGTATTTAAGACACAAGAGAAATAATGAATTAATTTACTAACATATAATTCCAATACTTACTATCTAATTTCTGTCCCTCTGTAAATGTTTCTAGAGCAGCAGCATAGTTTTTTTTATGGTATTCACATATCCTGTATGAGCATATTAAAAACAAATACCACACACATGAGATCATAAAAAATAGCCTTTTCCCTAATTAAAATATCCTAGTACTCTTTGTTGTTAAAAGAACTTAAGTATATAATAATAATCCAAGAGATTTTCTAAAATACTCTAGGTAAGATCTAATATAATTCCCATTAACATCCAATTCTGGAAACATTTCAGAAGTAATTTCTTAATTTTAATTGTACACACTTACTTATCCCACAATACAGTTCTAGCAAAGAATGAAAGCAATCTCTTAAAGAAAAGTCACACATCAACAAAAGCAAGCTGGGACACAAAACACCACAGATACAGTTTTTATAGGATTAAATGTAGCCTGTCCAACTTGGTTGAAGAATAAATGTTCGTTAGTCAAAGACAGTAAATTCCAAATGATGAAGTTTCACCTATACCTTGTAGTTACTTCAATCATCACTATTTTAATATACTAACTATACATCGCCTATCACATACTGCAGTTAATACAATAATAGAAGCATAAATTATATTTAAAAGTCAATCTTATCTCAGCTACAGAATGTATAAATACAGAATTTACTATTTATATAAACCTTACCATTAATTCATTCAACAAACTAAACACCTATCTATTGTCCAGAGCCAACACGAAGAACAGTTATTGCATACCCTTTTCTCAGCATAGCAGTAGGATTATTTGGATTAAGTTCAAGAGATTTCTTTGCATCAGCCACAGCATCTATACACGGAAAAAAAGTAAAAAAGGTTTTATACTCAGTTTTTTACAGATCTTAACAAATATTACACATAAAATTTGAATGAGTTTTAGGTTTTTAAGTTGGTAAAATGGACAAGTGGTTTTAAATTAGGAAAAAAAAAATTCAAGATATAATTCAATAAATATTACCCTCACATCTTCCTATTAGCCTAGTATTTAACTTCCTTTTTAAAACTCTTCACTCAGTGAATCAAGCTCTGTGTCACAAAGTTCACCTAATTTTCTCATTAACATCATTTATGCAATTTGACTCAAGGTATTTAATTTTTCCGTTCCCAGATTTTCTATGCAAAATAATTAAAGTTACACAAGTAATAAAGAAACATATTCCTTATGAAAATGCAAATAAGAGCATTTCATTTAAATACTCCATAAAACAGTAAATATGATGCTATTCTGTTAGCATATCCAATAACCACAAATGAAAACTGTATAAATTCTCCACCCACTGAAGGACATCCATAAAATGTAAATGGGTGTGGCTCAACGTTTGTCACATTTCAGCTACTTCACTTTGTATGAAAGACCAATTTAAAAAATCTTCAAAAATAATCTCTCTTTTATTTGACTCATTGTATCTTGGGCAATTTTATAACACTTAAAAAAGAGACAATGTATCTTGTAAGAAGTTACCACAGTAATTCCCAAGGAGGATGTGACAATAAGCTCTTTGACAATAAAATTGTGCATCATCAGGTTTCTGTTCCAAAGCCTTAGTCAGCTCCTACAAATACAAACACGGTGAGTATAAGTAACTGTTTTTCAAAAGTCACTGAATTCTAATTAAACATGATTTTTATTCAAATAAACTACTGTCATAAACTATTTGGAGCAGAGATAACAGAAACAAGCTAGGAGCATTTCTTTGCAAGAGGATCAATATCTCCCCTTCTCCCCTCTCCTCACAAAACCCACAATCTAATGTAATATCTATGTAAAGCACTTAACACTTCCTGGCCTATAGCAGGAATTCAATAAATGGTAATTATCACCTCATTTATTCTGAAGAGGTTAGGTGATATACATTGACCATCACAGATTTTCCTCCTTCTAATATGGAGAAGATTCAAAGTTTATTCATAATTTGAGGTGCCTAGAAAATATAAAGCTGTCTGGGGGGGGCGGGGGGCTAGTCAGGTGGCTCAGTTGGTTGGAGCATCATACCTTACACCAAAAGATTATGGGTTCAATTCCCAGGCAAAGCACAAACGAGAGGCAACCAACTAATGTTTCTCACATCAATGTTTCTCTCTCCCTCCCTCGCTTTCTCTTTAAAATCAATAAAAACTTACCCTTGGGTGAGAATTAAAGGGAAAAAAAAAGTTAAATCTAGAGTTCAGGAAGATTAACAGAATCAATAAATACAATCAAGTTTAGTTGGCTCTCTCCTATTCTCTGTCAATGGCAGACAACCCTAAGAAATTACAGTGTTCAATTGAAAGCCCAGATATAATACCTCATACTATCAAGTAATCAGGAGTTAATATTAAAGATACTAAAAATTTTGCCACCCTGAGCTTTCACAGTATATAAGTGGTAACTGGAACAATGATGATGGAAAAGACAGCACAATTAGGGAGGCCAAGGACAAATGAAGGCAAACAGGAACAATTATAATTCTCTACCCACTACTCACACACCCTAGGGATTTCGTAGTATTCAAGAAGTTAACTATTTCAATAGCAATACGCTGACTTTGCTTTAACCTAATTTCTTCTCACAAAGATAAGTAACATTGCTTTTCTTAAAAAGTCAGGTAAAAACAGAAATTTTAACAACCAACTTGCAAATCACCTTTAAAAACACAAATCAATTGTTGGTCAAGAAGGACAATTTATGGTGATGACTCAGTTAAAGAAACCAAGCAATTAGCCCTGGCAGGTATGGCTCAGCAAATAGAGCGTGGGCCTGAAGACCAATGAGTCACAGGTTCGATTCCGGTCAATGGCACATACCTTGGTTGTAGTTCAGTCCCTGGCCCTGGCCCTGGTCAGGGTCATGCGGAGGCAACCAATCCATGTGTCTCTCTCTCGTCGATGTTTCTCTCCCTCCCAGTCTATCTAAAGAAAAAAAAAAAAAAAGAAACCAAGCAACAGACTTATTGGGCTGTACTAAAAAAGTTACTGAAATACTACTGTGCACGAATTAAACACTGTGATACATAAACTTGTAAGTTACGAATAAAGCACAATTAGTTAATTCTGAATAAACAATATACATATATATGTGCGTGTGCGTGCGTGTGTATATTAAAAAAAAACACAACAAAAAAACAGAAAAAGTGAAGATAAAATAATGACCTGCAGCTGTATCAACTACATCTGACTTGTGGCATGTTCCCAGAGTTCTACTGTTTCCGTAACAATAGTTGCTGGCTGCGAGAGTACAAAGAGGACTAATAAGATGAATCTCCAAAGGCAAAACCTTCAGTGCCAACATTTGAATCACAGTGGCAAGAAGCTATCATTTAAGGAAGACCAATGTGAAACTATTGTAAACATATCCCAAGATACTTATATAAAATGAGATGTTACAGTCAAACAATATATAGTTCTCGAAAATTTAAAAAAACAAAACAAAACTGGTGAACTGTAAAATATAATTATGCTGAAATTTTTACTAAGATAATGGCGAAGGAAGTACTTGATAACCCAGGATACAGAAAAACTACTTTTTTTTATCCTCACCCAAGGATATTTTTCCATTGATTTTTCAGACAGAATGGGAAGAAAGGAGGGAGAGACAGAGAGAAACAATAATCAATTGGCTGTCTCCCATACGACTCTGACCAGTACCAGGAATTGAGTCTGCAACTGAGGTACCATGCCCTTGACCGGAAATCAAACCCGTAACTCTTTGGAGCTCGGGCTGATGCTCTAACCACTCATCCAAACCAGCCAGGGCAAAAAAACTCCTTTTTAAGGAAATAAGATAGTTTAAGACTTGGAACTCTTAGAAACAAATTTCCAAATCTTTAAAATTTTGAGCTTTTTTAAAATGCAATGTCACCCAATACACTGAATTTTAAAAAATAAATAAAATAAAATGCTACTCAACAGGTAAACGGTTGTTAAAGTTAAAAGCAAAAGCAGTCTTGCTCAGACTGACTGACAGCTTGAAGGCCTTTAGCTCTGGGTATCTTAATTTGATTCCATTTTCTGTTTTCTTCCCGCCACAGCTAATCCCCAATTATGAATGATAAACAAAATCAACCCTTCTCCTTTCCTAAACTACTGTGGAGAAAAACCACATAGCCATGCAGAATTGGTACCAATGCATGTTTATGCTAACCAGCTATGCCCTCTACAAAGTTATCCATGGTCAGCTACTTTAAAGTCAGCTATCAAACATTTAATCATATCACATACACCCAACCCTAGTCCCTGCTCCAGAAGATGACCCTAATGCATTAAACCCAGAGACTTATCACTTTTGAACTGTATAACCTTAAACAAGTTAAATCTCTTTAGCCTCAGCTCTCTTTATTACTTTGTATTACTTAACTCTTGTCCATTCACTTCTTTTACAGCTTTATAGTCTTTCACTTCACACAAAGTGCCTTTTTAAGTCAGTTAAATATATAAGACTTTAATCAATAGCAATCAGTGCCTCGCACACATTAACTCCAAAAAGCCTTGTTTTGATGAATAAACAAATGAGTCAATAATGAACAGTTCCAGGGCTTCAGGAAATGTTCAGGGACATGGAGAAAAAGGTTCTTGTTATGGTAGTCTGAGTTTATACACACTTTGCACATCGTCTGGTACATAAGAATGGCAAAGATGACTGTCAAACGAAGAAACTAATTAAATGTCATCAAGCCTAGATTTCACTTCTTCTTCTAGTCAAATGTCACTTTTAAAGATATCATTCCAGCCCAACTATGGATGTCAACTACAGAAATAGACAGCCTTTTTCTAAAGAGCCAAGAGGATGCAGAAACGGTCTAGGAATGGCAGGGACAAGAACAGGGGTCTGGGGTAACAGGGCCACTATGAACAGAGAAAAGAGAGGCAGAGTTTGTCAACATCAGGGCTGAAACACCGCAAAAACAGCCGTCCGGGTTCCAGGAAGACATGTGCTAACAAGAGGCGGGGTTCGCCGCGTTTCCAAAGAAGAGTAGAGGAGGCAGAGACGGGTTCTCTCACCTCTAATGCCGCCTGGGGGTTCTCGTCGATCAGAGCATCTGAGAAGCTCCGGAAAAACCTGCCAGGAAAACAATGCTTCAGCAGGGCGCACTAACCAAGCAAAGGGGGCAGGAAATAAAAATAAAGAGCAAAAGGAAGAGAAAACACATACTTTTGGGCTGTTGCAGATCCTGCTGCAGCCGCCGCCATCACTAATAACCAATGTTGCTGTCGCCGAATCGGCTACTACCGAGGTTACCAGCTCCGCCGCCGCCCGAGGGGGAAACTTCTGGAGAGACACCAACCGAGCTTCCGTCCTAAATAGCCAACCAGCAACCACGCAGCGTGCTGCGGGGGGAGGGGAGGAGAAAGGCAGACGCGGAGCTCGCCGGGACCTTGGAGGACCGAGTCTCCCGGCCCACCCTGCTTCCGGTGACCACCGCTCCCTTTCCACGCCCCTCACAGCCATGGTTACGGAGGCCTCGGTTGCTAGGGTTCGCCCTCTTTCACCACGCAGCCGCACTCCGACAGCTAGGATAGTAGCTTAAAAGAACTTTGGTTATATACTGTCACCCCCTCAGGAGCGTGGGGCGTTTGGGGGCGTTTGAATGCCTGTTGATAAGCCACATCGCGCTCCATTGCTACAATCCACTGCAACTCTCAGGGTTACTAGAGATAGCCAATCCTTTTGTGTCCCGTGACGTCACTTGCTGCTACGTGAGCTTTTCCGGGAGAAAGTTCCCGGATGGCAGCGCGTCACTCCCGAGATCTTTGCGCTGGGGCCCTAACGTACTCGCCGGAAGTCGTTCCGCTCCGCAGAGGCTAAATAGAAAGAAGGCTTTTGGTTCCGGTGTCGGTGGGATGTCGGCGGGCTGTTCCGTTCCCCAGGACGCCACAGGCCCACGTTTTCTTCCCAGTTGGTTTCCTAGGTTAAGAAGAAAAACTTGTTCCTTCGGAAAGCACTGAAAGGAGGAAGATGGGCTGAAGTTCCCTCAGTGCTGCCTGACCTTCCATCCTAGTGGGTCAGGCTCTCCCTTCCAGGCCTTTGACACATGCAGGTCACGTAGAAGCTTCCAGCAAGTACCCCGGACAGGGGTGGGGGGAGTAAGAGGAAGTGGGAGTTAAGCGGCTCACTCAATAGAGAGAAATAAATAAATGAACTTGAGTTTTAGTGCACCCAAAATCTAAATGAAGCCCTGGGATTGAGATGTTAATGCCCTCCAGAAACTTAAACCAATGCTGTTCTAAGTGATAAAATGAAAGAAGGGGAATAGTCATGTGATAGCATGGTGGGTCACATAGGGGAATCTAAGCTATCCGAATGGATTCCTCAAAGATGTGATGCCTGTTAGCTTGGAACGGTGATGATGGAAATGGAAAAGGTAATTCAGAATAGGACATGTGTTAGGAAACTTAATGTGAACTTTAAAATTAGTAGAGCCAAAAATCAAGTTAGCAGACTGGCTGGAGAGGTCAGTCACTGCCAGGTCATAAAAAGCTGGATGTGTGGTCTGCTGAGAAACTTGGATGCGATTTAAAAAAAATTTTTTTTTTCTTTATTCATATTAGGGAGAGAGAGAGAAACATCATGAGAGAACATGGATTGCCTGCCTCCTGCATGCCCCCCGCTGGGGATCAGGCCCACAACCTGGGCATGTGTCCAGACCAGAAATCAAACCCCGGGGCCTTTTGGTGCATGGGTCAATGCTCAACAACTGAGCCACAACGGGTCTGGCTGGATGCGGTTGTCTTCATGATGGTAATCTATTATATGATTTTTAATCAAAAAAGGCAGTGACAGACAAATTCGCATTTTTAAGTATAGTATTATACTATACTGTCTGTGCTGTGGAAGATTGATTAAAGGGAAAAAGAGAACTGCTGTTGGGAGACCACGGCTGTTTTACAGGGCTGGGGAAGGGGGGGAAATTCCCCTTTTCCTCCTCTGGTTCTTTTGGCTGGCCAAATCAAATTAACAGGAGGCAGATTGACAAGAGGAAATCAAAGTTAGTATCATGTACATGGGAACACCACATCCATGAGAGAGTCAGAGACCATGCATACCTGACAGGTTTAGAGATCGGAGGATTGAGGTATATAAGACATCCTGAGCTAGGGATGAGGTAGGTTGCCTTGGGGACTTGAAAAGGCTATCGCAGGATAAGAGCAGACATTCAGTAATTAGTAGTTTTCCCTGCCCTATAAATAGGTCAAAAGAAGGTATCTCTGATAATCTCTTATGGGCAAGGCCTCTAATTCAAATTCTTCTAGGTACTTGGTGGAAGAGGGCAGAAGTTTCTCTTGAGCTTGAAGGTAAAATTGCCTTTACCTCAAAATCATCTGCATACCACTGAGACATATCTTGGGGTGGCTTGTTCTGGACTCACTCAGGCCAAAGTGACTCCCTGAATAGGTCAGTGATTGTAGGGATGGAGAGGAAGGTAAGAATTATAGAAATATTTGATGTAAAACTGTATTTGCTGCTTTTTTATTAATTAATGCTCTTTTTATCATATATAGTAAAGTTTTGGCTATGACAAGGCTGTGAAGATAATTCTGTTTAATTCTACATGCTTTATTATTTTACCTTTCACATCTAAGTGTGATTTACCTCAAATTAATTTTTGTGAAAGACATGAAGTTGGAATCAAAGTTTATTTTTCCCCAATATAGATATACAGTTGACTCAGTCTTACTTATTAAAAAACACTGCCATTTATCATTTCCCCCACTAAATTCTTCTTTTTAAATAATTTTTTATTTTTCAATTATAGTTGATGTACAATATTATATTAGTTTCAGGTGTACAAACCAGTGATTAGACATTTACATAACCTACAAAATGATCACCCCAATAAATCTGGTACCCATCTGACACCATACAGTTATTACAATATTGACTATATTCCCTATGCTGTACATTGCATACCCATGATTGTTCTGTAACTACCAATTTGTAGTTGTTAATCCATTCACATTTTTCACCACCCCCTCAGCCCCCCCCCCCCCCCCCCAGCATCCATCAAAATGTTCTCTGTACGTATGAATCCATTTCTGTTTTGCTTGGTGATTTATTTATTCAGTTTGTTTATTGAATCCATATATACATGAAATCATATGGCATTTGTCTTTCCCTGCCTGACTTATTTCACTCAATGCAATACCCTCTAGGTCATCCCTGTTTTTGCAGATGGCATGATTTAATTCTCTTTTTATGGCTGAGTCATATTCCATTATATAAATGCACCACTTCTTTATCCATTCATCTGTTGATGAACACTTAGGTTGCTTCCACATCTTGGCTGTTGTAAATAAAACTGCAGTGAACATATAGATGCATAAGTCAATTTGATTTAGTGTTTTTGGTTTCTTCAGTTAAATACCCAAGAGTGGAATGGCTGGGTCCTCTTTTGTCTTTGTTATAGCCTTTTTTTTTTTTTTAAGTCCATTTTATCTGATATAAGTATAGCTACCCCAGCTTTTTTATTCATTTCCATTTTCATGAAATATCCTTTTCCAACCCTTTACTATCAGTCTGTGTGTGTCATTTGATCTGAAGTGATTCTCTTATAGACAGCACATTGTAAGGGTCTTTCACTTCTTTTCAGCCACTGTTTGTTTTTTGATTGGAGCATTTAATCCATTTGCATTTAAAGTAATTGTTGAGTCCAGCCAGTGTGGCTCAGTGGTTGAGCATCAACCCATGCAACAAGAGGTCGCTGGTTCGATTCCCAGTCAGGGCAACTGCCCAGGTTGCTGGCTCAATGCCCAGTAGGGGGTGTGCAGGAGGTGACCAATCGATGTTTCTATCTCACATCAATGTTTCTCTCTAAAATCAATAAAGAAAAACATTTCTAAAAATAAAATAAAGTAATTGTTGACAGATATGTATTTATTGCCATTTTATTGTTTATATTTTTTTCTTTATTAATTTTATAGAGAGAGGAAGGGAGAGCAAGAAAGAGATAGAAACATCGATGAGAGAGAACATCGATTGGCTGCCTCCTGCATGCCCCACTCTGGGGATCGGGCCCACAACCTGGGCATGTGCCCTGACCAGGAATTGAACCAGCGACCTCTTGGTGCATGGGTCAGTGCTCAACCACTGAGCCACGTCAGCTGGGCTATTGTTTATATTTTTTATCTTTTTTTTCTTTTTCTTCTTCAAGTAAACCCTTTAACATTTCATGTAATACTGGTTTAGTGGTAATAAACTCCTTTAGCTTTTTTTTTGTCTGGGACACTTTATCTATCCTTTGATTCTAAATGATAGCCTTCCTGGGTAGAGTACTCTTGGTTATAGGTCCCTGTTTTTCATCACTTTGAATATTTTATGCCAATCCCTTTTAACCTGCATCAGCTCACAGTATTACAGGAGTTCCTTGTAGGTAACTAACTGCTTTTTTCCTGCTGCTTTTAAGATTCTTTGTCTTTAACCTTTTGGATTTTAATTATGATGTGTCTTGCTGTGGGCCTCTTTGGATTCATCTTGTTTGGGACTGTGCTTCTGGACCTGTATGTCTATTTCCTTCTCCGGGTTAGGAAGTTTTCCATCATTTTTTCAAATAGGTTTTCAATTGCTTGCTCTCTCTGTTCTCTTTCTGGCACCCCCATAATGTGAATGTTGGCATACTTAAAGTTGTCCTTACACTGTCCTCATTTTTAAAAATTATTTTTTCTTTTAGCTGTGGGTTTTTTTTCTTCTTTTTTTTTTGGACTTTGTAACACTTTTATCAAAAGTGAACCAATATCAGTGTTTCTAAACTGTAAACAATGGGGTACTGAAGTTTTGTTTTTTTGTTTGTTTTTTATCCTCACCCAAGGACATTTTTGCATTTATCTTCAGATAGAAAGGGAGGAAGAGAGAGAGAGAAACATCGATGTGAGAGAGATACATTGAGTGGTTGCCACCCACACGACCCCAACCAGGGCCAGGGACAAACTGCAACAGAGGTACGTGCCCTTAGCAGGAACCGAACCCAGGACTCTCTGGTCCGTGAGCTTACGCTCTAACCGCTGAGCCAAACCAGCCAGGGCTGAAGTATTTTTTTTAATCCTCACCCAAGGATGGGAACTAAAGTATTAAAAGAAACACATTAGGGATCAAATATAATAGACCCCTTAAACTTTCTTATTGCCTGTATACATCATTGTGTAATATTAAAGCATAAATGAATTCATTATTAAGCAAACATTCTTTTATACAATGACTCTTTTTTATCTTTCTGTGCCTTTATTTTTGGTTTGACTTTCAGCAATTCTGCCTGGATAGCTTTATCTTCTGGTGCTTTCTACTGAGGTTTCTTAAGATCAGCCTATACTTGGCTGTATTCTTTTAATCCTTGACATCCTTGAGGTCTACAGTACAGCGCTTTGGTATTTGATGGGTCTACTTCAAGAGCCTCCAAACAACTGTCAGTTGCTCTGTGCCCATTTGACATCTTCAGTTTACAAGCACCAATATTCAGCATGCAGCTTAAAACT